TTTCAACTGTGGATATTAGTGATAAGAACATTGCAAGGGAAGGGATGAGCTTGCGTTTTGGAATTATTAACATTTTGGGGAAATTACCCTTTAATTTTGCTTTTTATATCTGTAGTCATATCTTATTTTCACTTCAGTAAAAAAAAAACTTTGTCTGCCAACTTGTCTGGCTGTGCACTGACTTTCTGTTGAAGTAAATTAATGCTAAGGCACTGAGGATTTATATGCTGCACTGTACCAAGTTGGTTGCACATTGATGATCTCAAAGGGGAGGGGTTTTAGTTTATAGTATATATATTATAGTATGTAGGTTAAAGTATAATTTACATTTACGCCTTCACACTGAGCGATCTGGCATTCCTGCAGCAGGAATGCCAGGTGTCCCCGTTCAGATGCTTCTGCTGTACCCGTTCAAATTAATGATTAGGTGACAGCGGATGTATCTGTAAGCAGCAGTCTGCATGCAATCGTACAAGATACCATTAAATGCGAATTAGAATAGATCACCGTCGATGGACACGGGATTTATGCATCCAGCAGCAGTGATCTATTCCAAACCACATATGCTTACATGCTGACTGCCACTTACAGATGTGGCCACTGTCACCTGGTCATTAACTTGAACCGGTACAGCGGATGTCTAAATGAGACACCTGGAATTCCTGACGCAGGAATACCATATCGCCAAGTGTGAATGGGGCCTAAATGCACAAGAGTATGGAATATAGGCGCATGAAAAGTTGGATGTATCATTGTAAGGGTTCTGCGTTGCAAACAAAACCTGCACCATCACCATTTGTTTCAGTAAAGAATAGACTACTGGTACTGTAGAGGAGTAATAGCCTGCTGGTGCCAGAGATGCGGAATAACCTGCTGGTGCCAGAGGAGCAATAGCCTGCTGGTGCCAGAGAGGAGAAATAGCCAGCTAGTACTAGAGAGGAACAATAGCCTGCTGGCAGGGCCGGTGCTAGACTATTTTGCACCCTAAGCAAGACCAGTTACTTGCACCCCCCCTTCCTCCATTACGGATTGGCTAAAGTTGCAGGAGACGGCTTTGTCTCCAGCGATCATCATTCAATCCTGTGAGGAAGCCACTGATCGAGACTGCGCCCATTGCCAGATTAGGAGCATCATGGACATGGTGGTAAGCTCCCCCTTAGCACTCAGCACTGTTGGCCAGTCAGATGTGAAGTAGTTGAGTCGGCTCTCTAATAAGGTGGCTGCTCGCTCCACCGTTGTTGTCTCCCACTAACCACATTGTACCCCCTGCCGCTATCACTCACTGACTCCAACAGTGGCCCATTTACCAATGCTGCAACATCCCCCCCCATCACGCACCCCAAACACCCTCCCCCAAAATCGCATTCCCCTAGGCCCCATCACACACCACAACCAACCCTGCTGAGGGTAACAGACCAACAAATAACCACTAAACAAGCGCCCAACCTGCCTCCCGTTAAAATAACCCATGCTGAACCAATGCTTCAGGACCACCGCATATCACCCTCATTACCTCAGGACTGCCATAACATACCCCATACCTCAGGAATCCCATAAAACACCCATAACAGCCCCCCATACCAAAGGTCTCCCATAACACCGCCCGCTGCCACAACGTATGACATAAGTCGGTGGCAGCGAAAGGATTCGGCCCTGGTTGCACCCTAGGCGGCGGTGCGCCCTAGGCAGCTGCCTAGTTTGCCTAGTGGAAGCACCTGTTTATGCTAGATTTTACCTGCTGGTAGTGTTTATGTGACGCAAGAACCCTACAAATTAAGAAGGGAGCAACCAATAATGCCAATTACAATACAATTATAATGCCGGCTGTGTCTCTCCTGATTGTGTCAGTTTACGTGCCAAATTCAACATTATGTTTATATTTGTATATCAGTATGGGTGTGTGTTTGTTTACATGTGCGTTTCCTAAATTTCCTGCATTCAGTGTCACTCTTCTTTCTTGTTGAGTACTACGTTTAGGGGGTTAATATAATCCAGCCACTTAATCTACCATACATATATGTGTTTTCCTTTTTTAGGTTTGACCCCTCTGTAGTCTTACATTTATATAATATTATCTTTTGTTTCTAAAAATGCTTCCTTCTTGGTCAGTCTTCATATCCATTTTCCTGTCTGGAAACCCAGCACTTATGTTCGGTTTATACATTATATGTATAATGTAAGCAAAGCTGTATAAGATGTGTTTTGGCAACGCCAGTGCTTTTACATTAGGTCTAACTTGTGTAAACATTACAGGGGAAACTTCTTTGATATACAGTTTGCAGTGTATGAAACAAGTTTGTTTTGTTGCTATAAACCAAAAATCTCATACTGATATGTGCCTGGATTCAAATTATCAAGTGACCGTTTCAAGCATGCATCATATTTGATTAAACATCATGTGAAAAGGAAAACTATTGTTAGCCCTTTTAAAGATTTAAACTAAAAGTCCCTGAAACACCACATAGTAAATGAATGCTAAGGCAAGGGTACAACCCTGAGGATTTATGAATATGCTGCGCTGCACCAAGCTGGCTGCACAGTGAGGATCTCAGAGGAGAGGGGTTGTAGGTTAAGTATAATTTACACTTAGGCCTTATTCACGCTGGGCGATCTGGCATTCCTAAACTTATGGATCGCTTCGGCAGGAATGCCAGGTGTACCCCTTCAGATGCGGCCGCTGTACTTGTTCAAGTTATTGACCATTACAGTGGAAACTTCTTTGATATACAGTTTGAAGTGTATTTAAAAAGTTAGTTTTGTTGGTATAAAACAAAATTCGAATACAGATATGTGCCTGGATTTAAATGATCAAGTGACCGTTTCAAGCATGCATCATGTTTGATTAAACATCATGTAAATAAGGTAAATTTATGTTAGCCTTTTTAAAGTTTTAAATGAAAGTAATTTATTAATGGAGAAGTCACCTGTGGACAGAGGCGTAACTAGAACCTTCAGGGCACCCGGTGCAAGAAACCATGAAGGGTTTGGGGGCTTGGGTCGTTGAAGAAGAAGCCTGAAAGTTTGTACAGGTCACCTAAAATATATTTAGAAATGACAGGCTTACTTAAAGGAGAACTATGAGGTTAGGGCTTTTTACTCACCTCATAGTTCTAAAAGACCTGTGACAATGAGACTGTCACAGGTCGGCTCAGTAGATCGGGAGGTGAGCGAACACATACCGGGTTCGCTCACCTCTCGATCCTGTCACGTCTCTCCCGTGACAGGGGAGGGGCTGGATTCCCCTCTCCCCACTCTGATCTGCCAGCGCTGACGGGCGGAACGGACGGGGGAGGGGGCGGGTACAGCTGGCTCTGCCTCTAGATAGGCAGAGCCAGCTGTCACTCACGCAGCTGGGCGGATCCAGTCATCTAAGTCGGAATCCGCTCTGGCTGCGGCTTCTCAGTATACCGCGAGCTGTGGCTCGCGGTATACTGAGCTTAGGGTAACGGAAGGACGCTAGTTTGTATCCTCCCATTACCCTAAGGAGAACTATGGGGAAAAACACTGACCCCATAGTTCTCCTTTAATGTGACACTAAACTCAGATGACAGATAAACCTTAAAAATGCATTCATTGCAAATTAGTAAACTAAACGTGAGATTATAGTCCATCACAGCAGTGATCTTGGAGCGGTGAGTGCTTTACAACACACACAGGGACCATGGGGAACAAAAGTAGCCACCCTGCAGAAGGAAGGACATTGTCAGCACCAATTCAAAGATAATTTGAGGATCTACAGCTGAGTGATACACAATTAAGCTACATTTCTGTTAATAGTTAAGATACTTGAATGCATTTTTTAAGATTTACAGTAACTCCTGTAATAGTGAAAAGACATGCTTTTCAACTGAACCTATTTTAGGTCCAAAATGCATGTTATAGTTGGGCTGTGCATTTTCCTCTATGCCAGCTGTGGGCAGCATAACACATTCTCTGACCTCATAAATAAATACATTCAAATATGTAACAAAGTATGTTCCTTTTCTTCTAACAATCCAAAAAATGTATTTACTCTGGAAGTGAAATAATTAAGTTTCCGCTGTTTTAATAAAAACATAATTATCTTTAAAGAACAACTCCAGGCAGAATACAAATAACCCTTGTAGTGGGGCTACCCCTGCATTGCAAGGGTTAATTGCTTGTTTTGGTCTAGGGTGTAAAATAAAAAAGATATACTCATCTGACACTCGATCCTATGTGGCTGCTAGACCCACCCCGACATCCTCTCTTACCCCTCGGCTCCAATGGTGGAATGTCCCTTGGCACCCCCACATTTAATACTTTGTATTAGACGTGATGACTCACGGGTCATTAGATTGCCAAGCAAAGGGGGAGAGAGGCTGCAGGGACCTATGAAACTAATGCATTATTTGACAGCCAGGCACATAGCATTTTCAGCAATGGAGGGTTAGCAGTGCCAGCCAACATTTAATTTGTCATTGTTCATTACAAATCCTCTTTTTTAAAAAGTATATGAAAAAAAAAAAGTCTATCTGTGCGTACGCTGCTGTAAATGTTTCAACTTGTGGTTTCCTTCAAATGATTCTGTCACACATGCACACATGATGCACACATGTGGAAGCAGTGGACAATGTCTTACCTGCTTTAAACAGATGGACATTTAAGCACAAATATGATGATGTGTGCAGGATAGAATGAATGGATGCACCCATAGGGATATAAAAGGCATAAAAAAAGGCATAGACCAAGTATATATTATTAGGGGACAGCTTTCATACCAATGTGGTTCATAGCATATTGGAAACAAAAGTCAACGTTTTATCCTTCCTATCTTCACAGATGTTAATTAATGGAAATGCATAGGCTAGCACTGCGCATAAATCGCATCAGCTAAACCTGGGAGGACAGCTGTTCTTGGTTTATATTCATCTACATTCCTATAAATGTGGAAGCTACTACTGTAAACCTGGACAGAACTGTATTTGTTTGTGTAAGGGATTATCCCCTCATCTATAATAACCCTATCTATATTTATTTAGGCATGTGCTCATCGCTGGAAGAATATTTACTATGAAAGTGATGTTATACTTCCTTACGGGTTCTGTGTCATCCTTCCACCAAACCTGCAGGGCAGTGGAAGAAAGCTTATGCCTTGTTATGAAGGTAAGATGCTATATGAAGTGTTTTATGTTCAAGTGTTTCTAAAGAGCTTTAAAACCTGGAATCACAACTCCTTATTTGCTAAAAGGCGGGATAAGCTCCAGCATAAAGAGTATCAAAGGTCAACAACTAAAACTGTAGTTCTATAATGGATTTCCATAGGTTCTACCCAGGGGCCTAACTAGAAATCACAGGGCCCCATAGCAAAATTTTGTATGGGGCCCCGTGATTGCTAGTTATGCCACTTGCAGAGCCCACCATAGACTCTCTATAGTGGGCTCTGCAGGGTCTGAGATCTCTTACCTGTGATCGCTGTCGCCTCTGTGGTCGCCGGGCCCCCCCTCCTGTTCCGTCCCCGGCCCCCGCCTCCTCTGCTATCGACGGGCCCCCGCCTCCTCTTACATCACTGGCCCCACCTGCTCTTAGGTCGCTGGCCAGTGATGTAAGAGGAGGCGGAGTTGCTCTTACTCTGAGTAACCATATCTATCTAGAAGATGCCCATAGGTTGTACTTCCTCAATGCACTGACACAATTTTACTCGGCCCTGTGCACTCTAACAAAGCCTTCTGTCTGAACTATGACTGAACGTCCCCCAATGTAACATTATCATTGCTTGCTGGAAGCAGTGCATTATGGGCTATGTAGTCTTGAGAAATGGAGATTGCATCACATCAAGCAGCAGGGAAAGAGATGCAAAGCACACTGAGAATCCAGGAAGCTGCTGAAAGTGATGGGCAGGCAGAAGGCAGCACCCATTGTATAAAATGATTTTTTTTCAAGTAAGCTTTGATTGCATTATCAAAAACAACTCTAGTATGTATTCCTATTACAATGCTGATGTTATAATAGGATAGTATATGCTGGGACTTTAGAACTTTAAGATGCAAAGATTACAATGAAGAAGGTGAGCCTACCACCTTCATCTCTGCACATTTCATCTATTCATATGATAAATGCATCAAGTCACACACACAGGGGTTGATTTACTAAAGGCAAATATGCTGTTCACTTTGTAAGAGAATGTTCACTTGTGCTAGTGAATGTTGTGAACATTTACTTTACAAAGAATACCCAATTACAATTAAGGAAAATAAACATTATTTTTGCTTGCACATAATTGGATGATGGAAGTGGCAGAGTTTCCCCTCATTCACTAAGCTAAAGGAAATTCCAAATTGAACTGCTTATTTGCTTTTAGTAATTCAACCCCATGTTGTATGTAAACCCCAAACCAGAAATGTAATATATAATTAGGGGGACAGTCCTAGATGTAATGACTATTGTTGCCTGTTAATCCTGCGAATAACACACTTCCTCTCCCTTAATGTGTGCATTTATTTCTTCACTGTACCTATGGGGGAAGCCATGGTTGTCACACAGGCTGGACTGTAAACGTGTCTGCCTTTGTTCATCTCTATTACGTGGTGGATTGATGTGTCTAGTAGTTTACACATTGTGTGTGCTTTCTTTTCAGCTCACAGGAAGTGACAAAGACACTTAATTTCTGGCAAGATTGACAGGTATTTTCTGTACTTGCTGGAAATGCTCTAAACCTGAAAAGTGAAAGTAAATGCAGCCTCCACATCTAAGCAGGGATGTGCGGTCAGGGGAGGCAGGTGAGGCAGAGCTTTACATAGTATTATGGAGGAAAAAGCTGTCAGCTTCAAGTCTGAAGCTGACAGCTTTTTCTCCATTCAGATCGGCTTCCTGCTGTGTAACCTGTCATGGATGGACCGTTGCTGCATCCGGCTTTTCATAGGTAGTTAGGTTACACAGCAGTGGGCTCCCCCACTGCTTGTGTAACTAATGAGGCAAGAGCTGCCACAGCCTCAACTCTATGTTAGAGGCGTGAGCTCTGTGGATGGCTGGGACCAATGGCAAAGCGCCATTGATCCAAGCAGTCCAGTCAAAAAAAGGAAAAAAACCCCCACTGAGGCCATCAATCTCGATGCCTCTGCAGCGACGAGCAAGTGAAGGACAGGGAGGCTCCTCCCTGTCTCCTCCCTTCCTGCTCCCTCCCTCCTTCACACTTGCTTGGGGACCAGGGTGGGGCTTCGGAGGGTGGGGCTTCGGCAGGCTGGGGACGGGGCTTCATCGGGTGGGGCAGGTCATGCTGGGGGCTTAGGCTGGGGAATGCCTCACCCGGAACTAAAGGTACCGAACGTCACTGCATCTAAGGACTAGTAAGCTGCACTACATAACATGTTTGGATTTTGGATTTTACAACCAAAATGTTTTTATCTTGTTTTTGGCTAGAGCAGGGAAAGGTTAGAATCTCTTAGAGATGGCCTGTGTCCCTGTGTGGAAGTCTTTCCCATATGTATATTTTTATGCTTCTGCTCCTTATTGTACGCTTTACTTCTAAGATCTTGTGAGCAGCACTAGAATTAAGAAACTGTGTGTTGAGCAGTTGTTTGGGGAATAAATATCGAATATCATACACAGCATCCAGAGAAAGTGTGGAAATGCCTTTCTCCCCTGTATGGGAATTTTCAGTTTGAGCTATAATTTCAGTCATATATATCCTGACCTTTCCAGCTGCTAGGCACTTTCATTTCTGCTGTGCGCATTATACCTCTGGAATTTGTTTGACATATTGGGTCTGCCTGCAATTACAATTTGTTATAATGGAACGCATATTTCAATATGGTTGACATATTGTACGGAAGAATTATCTTTCCAATAATTATATATTAAAACAAGACAAAGGTGGTGCTCTGTATATTAAACGGTCATTCAAACCAAAAGTGATATTTTAGTTATAGGTCAAGTCTGTAGGATCGAGGCAGCTCCTAGCTTCATATTTGTCAGATCCCTGGTGTCCAACCTGTACCCGGATGATGCATGCGGTTCTTTGGCACTTGTTGTGTGGCCCCTAGGACCCCATGCAGACAGAAATTTGTGCTTTTCTTATCTAGGTGATGCAAATATTGGGAAAAATATTTGAGATAATTTTTTTTTCTTCTTTCTTTCACACTAGCTTAGGTTTCCTGTAATGTCAATCCCTTTTCTCTTTTTATGTTTTTTGTCTGCTGATCTTTTATAATACATTGTTTTTACTGACATATCAAATGTGGCACAAGTAGTTTTAAGGGTGCTGTAGGGAACACAAGTATGAAACCATTGATTATTGAAGGGGCTAAAATAGCAGTGATTTCTAAAAGTCTTATGTGCCTTTCGTTTCTGGCTGTCTCCTGATTCATGTCCCCAGTACCCAACAAGTCCCAGTTTTTGACCATCTTTCGTGGTCTTTGACCATCTATTGTTGCATATGCTGTAGTCCCTGCTGCTTTCTGTAGCATTACATTCACTGAATGCTATGCACATCCACTTGGTGATGCAAGGGGCTGCACTTGAGGCCCCTATTTAGAAAGGCCCCTGTGTGAGGGCACCTATATAGAAAGTTGACCACCACTGTCATAGATACTCTAACAGCAAGATCTCTCTCTCATGTTGCATTCTCCATAATATAAAATAAAGAAAAATTCAAGCAGGCAGATTGAATTCCCAATGGTCCTGTTTTATGTTGTAAAATCCACTGCTCCAAGGTCACTCCTATGATGTACTACATTCTCATGTATAGTTTACCAATTTGTATTGAAATTGTAGTCCATCATGGGAGTGAGCTTGGAGTGGTGGCTGCTTTACAACACACACAGGGACCATAGGGAAAAGAAGTAGCCACCCTGCAGAAGGAAGGGCAGTGTCAGTACCAATTCAGGGATGATTTGATGATCTACAGCTAAGTGATCCACACATAAGATACATTTTTGTTAATAGTTAGGGCACTTGAATGTATTTTCAAGATTTAACTCCTGAGTTCAGTGTCACTTTAAGAAGGAAACCGTAACAATAGTTTAGTCCCATGTTGTGGTTTGATATGGTTTCTCATCTAGTTGCTAGCAAAGAAAGGAAACAGAATATGTGGTTGGTGATATACTTGTTATATCTGTTATTTAAATGAAAAAAAAAGGATTTATTTTGTGCTAAAAGATGAAAGTTATCCAGATTTCCCAAGAATCTGTTAGGGAAATATGTAGGGTAGATCTTTCATCTGTCCTCCTGTAGAAGAGAGTACGGAGAGACTGTGTGTGCAGGTGGCAATACTAAGGAGGCTCAAGAGAAAGAGAGAGAGGGAATGGAAGTGAAGACAGGTTGGACAAGCTGAGGTGTGACACAGAAAGCTGCATCAGGGGACAGGCTTTAAAATCTGTTAACATGGTAAGAAAACTCAAGAAACATACAAATATTTTGATAGAAGTGGAAAGCAGAGCTTTGGTATGTATGACATTTCAATATTTTGCTATGATGTTCAAGCAACAGTACATTTTTACAGATGTTTAGTTCAATTATGTAAATTAGTTTAGGAATATGGCTTCCAGATTAAAACCTAATTTACTGGATGAGGTTTTCCCATTGTTATGACATTACATCACTGCTTCCCTGCTATAATACATAAACTGCTTCTAGAACTGTATTGCTGAAAATCTTCCTTAGCATGTAAATGAAAAATATACCTAATTAATTCCAGGGGCACACAGGATGTGATGGATTTAGCAGAATTTCACTCTATTGTACAGCATATAGTGATAGATGACATATTAAATTAAGAAAAGACTTTCCTTGCAAACTTTGAAGTGTTGTGGGATACATTGCTTATTGTAAGAATACTATAAAAAGCATATAATTTTACGGTTTGTTAAATTATTTATACAAGTTAAACATCCGGGCAAAAAAATTAATTCACTATAGTTTGAACTCGATGGATGTTTTTTTTCAACCTGACTAACTATTTAAATATATTCCCCAATAGCCACAAAAGATGTAAATCCACTTTGTGTGCACCAAAAGCCTTTGCAAACCCAGTTATTGCCTTGTAAAAGTAGTGGTGACATCATCACTGTGCTGCACATAGCCTGAGCAGAGCTGCGGGAGGAATTCTGCTTGCACAAAAGTACAGGAGGGGTGGATAAATGACCAATCATCCTGCACAAGGAGGGGGA